GCACCAACATGACGATCATTTAAACCTCATTTCCTTAGACTTATGCACAGTACTGTATATATTTCCCTATGCACCTGTCTATGAATAGCACTGCATTTTGTGCAGACTAGAATGTGCTTGAACACACTAATGAATTGTCATACAAGGACTGCTCCGCAGTGGCCAGCAGAGGGCAGACGCCTCGCTTCTGGACTTGCAGCTTGCTGGGTTGGCAAATGAAGCGGCCTTGTATTTACACTCTAAGAGTGTTGACTGCCTGTCTCTCTCCTCCCTTCTCTTGTCTCAGGGTTCACACATGATAACGTACATTCATATACACTCACACTATACCTCACACTCGCATGGCAGCACGACACATTCCCACATACATACTCCCTGACTGGAGTTTGGGGGCCTCAGGTGCCTAATATTTTAGGTGTGTTTGTGTCCTCTGTACATTTATATAAGCATACAAATTCAGTATGCATAGATGGATGTTCATAAAAATTAAGAAAACTGAAGGTTCTTTTTGCTGAGGAGGACTTTCTAGACCATTGCATATGTGGCAGGACAACTGAACACCCTACAGCAGTTTCCTACTATGGCTTCCAGTTAAGCAGAACTACCTCATTTGTGTACAGAATCTTTTTCCTAATTTCGTTCAGAGACCCTTTTTTTAAAATTTGGATTTAAATTATTTTTCCCCAGTCTTCATGACTAGCAGAAAGTTGTGTTTTTTTGTTTTTGATTATCCATGAGAATGTCCCAGGCATCGATGCTCCTCTGTCACAGCTTGAGGAACGGAGGAGTACAAGCACTGGTAAAGACTGGATGGGTCATACTTGGGTACCTTGCAATCAAGGTGCCCCTGTTACCTGTTTCTGCACAGGCATACCTCCTTTTGCCCTCTGGATGCTCCTTAGAGCTGCTCTCAGGGGTAGTAGAAGCCATCGCCAATGACAAACCCACTTCCGTCCTCATCTGCTATGGGACTGTGTTGTGAATGAGAGACGAAGCCTTATGCTGTCTATAACCCTTCATCAGTATGTATGCAGTGGTCGCCACACAGGAACTTCTTTCAAGTATGTTGATAATTTACTTCTGTATATATATTCAGCTGTTCTTGCTCTGACAACAGGTGTCATTTGTAATTTACAGAAGAGAGTGAAATAAATATATATGACATATATAATTTCCTCTTTTTTAATATTAGCATTTTAAATACCTTTTTTTTTTGTTTTTCTTCCAAAAAATGTATTTGTTGTTATCTTTGAGAGTGCATGAAAGCAATGAGGGAATGGGATCGTAAGAAGCAGAGGGCAGGCCTTCATTTTCTGTGTTACCTCAGCATGAATGTTCTGTGAGCCGTGGTGCATGTTGGCCAAAGTCACCAACCTCTCAGTTAGCCTGGGTCAGAAACTGCAGCTGGACAGTCCAGCTGGAGAACAGAGGGAGCAGGACTAGCAGAGGTGGAAAGTCCAGGTTCAGAAAGTGTCCAGACCAAAATTTTGTTTCAACCAACCTGTTGAGTACTTTGTGAATGTGACTCTTTATGCTGAACTTGTTGGTTGAAACGAAATCTTGGTCTGGACTTTGTGAACCTGAACTTTGCACCTCTGAGGACTAGCTTGTGGGAAGGAGGTGTGTGTTTGTTTCAAAGCTTGGAATGGGCCAGACGTGGGAGTCAATGTGCTGGGATTTGGCTAAAAACCACTCCAGTTTTATATAGCAGACACTTCAGGGTCAGACATGCTAAATTCTAACATTCATTAGCTAGAGGACATAATAAGTGTCACTTCTTAATTACCTGTAACCTTTTGGTTGGTGGCCTTTGATGCTTGTGAGTGTTGTGTATAAAAATCATAAGGTGGCCCTGGTTTGAAATGCAAGTTTCACAGTTCCAAAAAATGCAGTTGATTTCTACTTGGGCAGTGTAAATAAGCTGTAAATTGTACTTTTCAAATTGAACACAGTGTGTATTCTCATTTGTTAATAAAAGTGTTAGGGGTGTGAACAGACTTTGTGTTTGCATATTGGAGTTGATATGTAAAGCATTAAGGAACACGCATACTGTAGAATTAGATCCTGGGTAAATTGTGGAACTGCACCATGAAATTTCCATATTTGTAATTCTGTAGCCGATGGAATGAGAAGCAAGAAAGAATCAGCATCTGATTGTTTTGTGGACTGGGTCTCCTGTGGTGTTGACATTGTCAGCTTTTGTTCATGTCATGTAAGTGCCAATAGGTGCTTCAGATGATCTTTGTAACCACTTCACAATGTCAGTGTGTAAAGTCCACAAATGGCAACCTCATATTGTAGTCAGTTTGTGATTACTGATGTTCAAGCACATAGAAAAATACCACCCTTGCCTGTGAATTGGGTCATAATCTTTGTCTCATGAGTCAGTGTATCCTTTGATTTCTTATACTTTTGGAAAGTATATGTCCTGAATGAAGCAATGTTTACCTATTCAGAAGCTTCAGCATAAGGAATGTTGCAGTTTTAAACCTTCCCTTCCCGTTTCCCACATTAATCTCTGCTTTCATTGGAAGTGTGGACATGAACATAACCCATGGCCAAGTATTATCCATGTACTGTCCATAATCTTTATATACATATCATTTCAATCTCTGCATTCTAAGTTTTATAAAGAAACGTTATTTTTAATTTAATTTATATTTTCCTACCGGTGATTTTCTTAACTGAGCATTATTGTAATACAAATGGATGAATGAACTGTAATGGTAAGAATTCATTGGCTGAAAACCAGTAATAAGTATTGTTCTTTTACCTCAGCATTTGCTGGGCATCTTGCTTCCAGTGTAACGACGACTATGGGAAGTGGTGAAATACAGCAATGCGTGAGGGGGGGTTGGGAGACAGGGCCCCCGTAATAACATTTTGAGCAGCTTTGTGAAGTATATTCTCTGCCAGTCTTACCTCAATTCAGATGCCGTTTGTAGGTAAACTTCTGTACTGTTTATATGTTTCATATACTCAGGTACCCAGTCTCTTTTCATATAATTATAGAACAAGACAAAGGTCTGGCAGACCCAACAGCATATCGTCTCATGAATTTTGAAGTGCCATCCTGGGAAAGTAAAACCACCAGACAGATTTTGCTTGCATCGTTTCAGCCCGCACTCATGCTGTATTGCTGTGAGGAAGAGATTTATCCAGAGATGCCTTGATTCACGTTCATGAGTATTTGCTACTCCTATATGAGTTCAACCTGCTCAGCACACAACTTGGGGCATCAACGTGTCCATCCCATCACTGAGCCCCTCTACGTTGGTCTCAGGTGCCCATCCCTGTTGCCTATTTTTTGTCAACGTTGTTTTATGCCATGTGATCAACATCTTCATAGAATCTCCAGCGTGTTCTTAACCTTACCGTGTAGAGGTGAAAAGGCCAGGATAAGGATGGACTTACTCTTCTAGCCGAGTTCCCCACCACAGGTGTTACTCGCATAATACTCCACATCCACATCCATCCACCTGTTGATGCCCACTCTAACTTTGCAGTGTATAATCTTTTTGCTATTCTCCCAGTCTTTCAGTCCTATTATCTTTTTTTTTAATTAAATAATGAAGCAGGTGGATGTATAGGTGTGGCATATATTACAACTAAGAAGAATTTTAAAAATCACTGTATAAATAAATTAAATTGTAGTGTTGTTGGTGCTCAGTTTTAAATTGGTCATGATTCATTCAGCCGTGCAACAAAGTAGATGTTTTCAATGTGACACAAAGTATTCTGTGCTTTTCAAAGTAAGAATCTCCATCTGGACAGCGACGCTGCTAAGCTGCGTGAAAAGGATGCGGATTTTGGAGGTGGTGTAATCTAGGAGACCCTCTTTTGACATGATGTTTTTCTCCTGCAGTAGGCAGGTTGTCAGGCTGAGACCACCCCGACCCCCCACCCCACACACACACTCACACACCTACACCTACAAGCAATCTATGCAAACTGCTGTGATGTAAATAAACATGTCAATAAAGAGACTGAAGGTGCCATTACGTAATCTGTCCTTAAGTGTTTTGAAATGTGTTTTGCATCCACTCCCATTTCCTGTCTGGAGGTGCACGCACAAAAAAATAGCAGACTTGCTTTTCATACACTGAAGCCACCGAAATCAACAGCATATCCTTTGCCATTGACTAGAGATGACCCTGAACAATATGTTTTGGTGCTGATGGGACTGGTATAGAGTTCTGGTCTTCAGCAATGTCACTCTGGGGCCTTGCTTTGTAGCATTGTGCAGTGGTCATCTCTCACTATAAATTATTTAAGTATATGCAGTATCAGAGATCCCCCTGAAATTTCAGTTAAGAGTATGTTCTTTCTTTCTCTGCTGGAGCAATCAGCGCTGGGGCACTGTCTCTGAAGGAGAGGCAGTGTGGAGTGTGCAGTTAAGTGGTCATAAGCTGTTTTTCAGCACTGATGGTTTTATTGATATAGTTTTTATGCATTATCAGTCTAAAAATAAATTAATTAACCAAGAATTGACTGAGTGTTATAAGTGTTTAATTTTACAATATGATACTTGCATGATGTGTCTTGCATTTTTGGTAAATCATTCAATTGGGTATTTTATTCAATTAGTTGTATAAATCCCAGATTCTTTATAAATGTGCTTAGGAACTGGTATCCTAACGCTGGAATTGTGTAATACTGTCTATCAGGGACGTTATCTTGTAAAGAAAGTTACCGATGGTTAGGTGTAAATTTATATCTAATAGGCACATATTCGTCTAGATAATAAATGTTGAATAAACGTGTGATGCGGAAAACCAGCTGAAGCTTTACTGCTGATTGCGTTACACAGATTTTTTTTCTTGTTCTTGTGCATGTATGAGTTGATTGGATCCCGTTTGTAACATATTATTCAGTACCGTACATTGTCAGTAGAGGTCACTGCTCATTTTCCGCTTTTTTGTTTTCTGATTTTGGGTCTTGCGTCTTTCTCCTTCTTATAGTCTCATTATACTGTATGGGGAAATATTATCGCCATTTATGTTTAAACTGAGTATATGTATGTTTACAACTTGCGAAAATAATAATGAAAGGTATAGCCCATATATGTTAATATTACTTCAAATGTTATCAAATCAACATATATTTCATTATTTTCTTTCTCCTCATTAACAATGCAAATAGAACAGAAAGGTAATATCTTTTACTCCTTTATAAATGTGCTACATTGGAATTAATACGTCCTAAATAGTAACGTCAAAGTCATGGGTTACCAGCCAAATGAAATACTACATGACAAAACATGAACAAAACAGTTTGTTCAGTAATTGTAATTCATCTAAATTTAATTATAATATGTGGCACCAGGACCAAAACAATGCAACTGCAATTAAAATGGAAACACTGACATTGTAAAACAATTAATATTAAAAATCCCGCCTCTGTTTAGTAAGTGGTGAAGTCTTCTCCCAAGTGGTGCCTCCAGAAAGAGACGACGAATGAGGCAGGGGGAGGAGAGGAGGTGCAGGAAGGCGGTAGGAGGGAGAGAGCCCATGCGATTACTGGGAGGTCAGCGTTTTATTGCAGGCGTCGGGGTCTACTGATGGAAAGAAAAGAGGGAATGAACGGGAGAGATGCTGGTAATTTCTTTATAGATGTGCAAAATGGCGCAAGCATATACTACTCCCACTAGTCCCGAGCTCAGAATATGAAGACCTAACCAGATGATTTCATTTATTCTGTCTTATTTTATTTTATTTATTTTTGCGAGTTTCGGTTTTTGACGGATCGTATTATTTTTAAAGAGAGTAAATGGCTCCTAAGCTCAGTTTCCCATGCTTTCTTGGAGTACTCATAAGAGCTCTAGTGGGTAAGTGTGTTATTGACATCGCTGATATCGTTTTTGGTACTTGGGTGACACCTTTTTGGAACTGTGCCGTCTTTTGTCTTTATATAGTGTAACCAGTGCCGTGAACATGGTTGGCCATTACGCTAGGCGCTGAACACTCCCACTGACCATGAACTTGGCTGTATCAGCATGAGTTCTTGACATTTTGAAAGTGTTTTTATTTGTATTGTTTTCGCTGCCTTTGGGATTACCGCCTTATATTAATGTGCATTGCGTATATTTTGCAATGAAGCTCAATTAAACACCAATTTTAAATCGCATTTGACAGTTCATATTGCAGTCAACAGTAAATTAAACGTGCTTAATTTCTGGTGGGTGGCATGATTTATAGAGCCGCACGCGCCTGAAAAAAATAAACTAAAACAATAAAAAAAATAGCATATTGTAGAATCAAGTATTTTGAGCTTAGCGGTTTCTTCTCCTTTATCACAGACTGATTTAGCTCTAACATCCAATTGTTTGCTGGTGTCACTGTCAGCATTTGTATTTGGTGAAACGATATGCTGTCCAAGCACACAACAGCTAACAGTCTTAACAGCTGTGCTGCAAATAAAAAGCAACGACAGCGCTGATTGTACTACTTTTGTCTCGAGACTACGTAAAATACATAATGTACCATGAACATGTTTCAATTTGTCTTGCACATGTAGGGTAATCCATTCAGACAGAAAGACAATGTATTTTGAATACGTATTGTCATTCTATCCTTGGGTGATTATATCTATTTGGTAACTGTTTTGGTAACCTGATGCTCTCTGAATTATCGACTGTAAAGCAGTAGGTAAACTTCGACAGTTATCACTCCATATTGTGTATATGCCGAGTTTACGCTGAGTTTTTGAACAAGACTTTTTAATTTAATCATTCTAATAGACCGCTTTCGGCATAACAAAGGCTGCTTGTATTCTCACTCTGAACCGGCAATTTGACCGTACGGAAGACCGTGCATTATTTGTTGTATGACGTAATATTTGTGTTGTCTTGAATAGTTCGGGTTTTTTCCTCATTTAATTGAGCCTTTCAGCTGGGTAGGTTACTTCAAGTAGATGTGATTGCTCCTCTTTTTTCCAGAAGCAACACCATTAATAGTAATATCCCCAATAAAAATGACATGTGAAAGTAATATATAGGGTATGTGTATTACAGCCTATTGATTATATATATATATATATATATATATATATATATATATGTGTGTGTGTGTGTGTGTGTGTGTGTGTGTGCGCGCGCGCTACATTTGTTTTCCTTTTCATATTGCTACCCCACTCCCCGCCGTCATGCATGTTTTTTCCCCATGACTTCACCTCTCACCGGGTGCAGAGGAAGCCCACTGGCATTTTTGTGAGGCAAACAATAACACGGTGCCTTGTGTAGGTTTATCAGTTTCATTTTATTCAAAATGAATTATCTAAGACATATAATGAAATATTTATGCTTGAGGGACTGATTCTGTTTTTTTCTTTTTTCAATCTTAGAATAATAAGTATATTTTGGACTGTATAAATTAACAATCAGTGGCGGCTCCAGTTTGTTTTCAGAGTCAGTATTTCACCAACAGGAAGCATTCGAAAAGGACAAGTGAAGTTTGTCACTGACTTCTTTCTAAGTACATAACAAAAACCTGGATATTTTTCTTAAATTGTGTTTTCGTGTATTGTGTTTTCGTGCAAATTGCGTCCCATACGTGCGTTTGGAGAAGACGCGTCCACGTTCTCTGATCGACGTTACTCGGAGCCAATGAAAATGGGGGACTCTGGGGCCAAGCAACGCTGGTGCAATCCCGCCCCGCCCCCAGGCTCCGCCGCTCTTTCCGTAAAAAGAGTGGAGAGATGTTGTATTTAAAGAGAAATATTATTATGCGAAATGTAAACATTTTCGTTTTTTTTAATCAAATGTATAGTGACTTTGAATGATTTATTGTTTCATATACAATTATTTTATTTTTTAATAAGTTGTTTAATGCATTAAACACTAAATATTATTGAACCTCCTTTCTCCTTTGGTCACACACATACAGAAAGGAAACCACTGTAGTGTGTGTGTGTGTGTGTGTGTTTGGTATAATACTGTCTTCTATTCCCTGAATGTAACCGTACAGTTGGCAAAAAGGCAGGGCCACTAATTTCCAATTCTTTGGCTTTTCGCGAAGCTATTAAATTAACTATCTGCCTCGCTTTGCTTTGGACAGAGGGGTCTCATAAATGATTACATTTAAATGTGACGTGAGTGCTTGCAGCTGAAATACACATGCAATTTTCCCTTTCGTGTAAAAGGCTTGATTACTCCAGATTACTGTGGTGCCCTAAGGACCTGTAAGTCATATTGCGTTAAACCAAAGAGAACCAAATTGTTCTTGGACTAAAGAGAGCAGGTTTTTGTAACAAGCCCTCTTTGTGGTGATGATGCTCACTGATTACAATACATATCAGGAGGGAAAGTGTGAACTGCCAGTTATAGAAGGTAGGAGAATGGTTGTTGAGTAATCTGTATTTTCAAGTGGGATTTAATGAAGATTCTATACGTGCTAGAATTTTTAACTGGCAGGTGACATCAATTTCTATATACATGTACCTGACAATCCTTTAATAAATGGCAGGATTAGGTTCAAAACTGGAAGTGCGTAAAACGTACGAAAACGACTTGTGAGTCATGTCACAGAGAAAATAATCTCTTTGTTGACCTAGTTTCCGAATAGGCAAAGAAAATATGGCGATGTAAGGAATGACTTATTTTATTGTGTTGTATTATTGTATTTTTAAAGTATTATAGTTATGAATGTGTTGACTCTGTTTATGTTTTCTCTTAAATGACATATTAATTTCTAGTGCTAATTGTATTGGTGCTGTTCCAGACCAGCACGAAAAGATGATGTGAGGAGTGAAACCTTCATTGCTCCTCTTTATATGTCCCCCATTGTCCTTCTGCTCTCCATTTTGATTGGTGCTTCTTTTTCAGAGTTTAAGACTTTTTTGAGATTTGATAACAAATTACCAACAAATCAAATCTCTTGGTTATAGTAGGTCTGTGACAGGTTTAGTCCAGTCCACCACTGCAATACCACAACCTGCATACTGTTTCTGTAAGTGATTATCCCTCCATCCATCCATCCATCCATCAAACTTTTAACTGTTTATCACAGTCTGGGTCAAGTAGGGGTGGGCAGGCTAGACCTTATCTTGGGTAGTATTGGGAATAGGGTTTGGGTACCTCCTAGAGGATGAGATGCCATTCCAGTAAGTCATTATCTTCCCCAAGTTAACACATGTACTCCCAGTTAAGGGAAAAATCAGGCTCTTTCCGTTTCTAAATTGCCCATTGGTGTGTGTGAGTGTACGGTGTGCGAGCGTGCCTTGTGCTGGGTTGGCACCACATCCTTGGTTGTTTCCTGCCTTTCCCTCATACCTTCTGGGTTAGGCTTCAGACCCCCTTTGACCTTGCATAGGGTAAGCGGGTAAAGAAGATGGATGGATGGGTGGGTGGATGGATGGATGGATGGGTCAGGCTTTTTCCCTAACTCCAGAGAGTGATGTCACAGCCTCCTGTATAAACAAATAACAAGTTCAGTACTAAAGGTTGGGCACTATGTTAGCTGCGAGGTTCAACCTTCCTTCCTACTTAATGTGAAGCCAGCTTATTGAAAATATGAATATCTATAAACTCAATTTAACCTTTTGAAAGAAAAATTCCTCTTTTTTTCTTTCTTACTTTTACATTTCAATATTTATCATGGTGTCTCCCTGTGTTTCATCTTTAACCTCTGATCCTAGGCCTATTTGTGAATAGAAATATTTGCTTGAATCAATTTAATAAGTTTTGTTTATCACAAGATGACTAATTCAGGATGTGGTTGAGGATGCAGTAGAATCTTTAAATGGGTTTGCATGTTTGCATAAAATGACAATGTCAGGTGTTCCTGCAACTGGACCATAAGGTGCCCAGTACTCTGTTGCCTGGTTTACTGTCTCAGTGAAAAAGGTGGCCGTTGCTTAAAAAAAGAATGGTAACTGTTAAAAAGACATTTGTGCTGTGTATATGTACACATATCCTTTGGGAGTATGCTTTTGTTATGGGCATTTGTGGTTTTTCATGTTCTAATGTATGCAATCAATTTTTGCTTGTAAGCTCCGCCCAATCACCCATGTGTGTCTGCGTTTCTCCAGGTGTAACTTCTGGACCAGAGCTCTCCTTCACTCTGGAGCCAAGTGACATAATCGCCGTGCAAGAGCAGCCCCTCATGCTGCCATGCCAGGTGGACGGCATCCCGCCAATCACCACTCTGTGGCGGCGGAATGGCCGCTGGCTCACCGAGGACCAGAACTATGCCATGTTCACGAATGGGTCTCTGTTGATTGGCCACTTTCAGAAGACTAGGTCTGATGACTCGTCGGATGAGGGAGATTACGAATGCGTGGCCCAGAACTCCTATGGGCTGGTTGTGAGCCGCAAGGCACGAGTACAAGCTGCCAGTAAGTGACCACCTTCTGACCAGAACATACCCTTAAAAGAATGACAGTTGCTATTGATTGCTATTTAATCAGGGGTTCTCTTGTGCGACATGGGGATTTTTATTTCCCTGTTAAGAGGAATTGTTTAAGAGGTGCTAATGTTTAAATCAGGTGCACTGCTTCAAGTCAATTATGATCGAAGGCTTATTCTTGATCTTAAGCTTGATTGTGTAATTTTTTTGAATCAGTCTGTTGGCCCCTGGTCTATTAGAACCTAATAGCTCAGGTTCATGTGAAGAAGGCTGCCAGGCTTTGGTAGATAAAAGGGATTTCTCTATAGCCAGCTAATAAGTTGAGCATTGCACTGAGTCAGGAAGCTGTCAATTTAAGGGAATGATTTTGAGAAGAACAAAGTAGGAGTTAGCAAGAGTAGTAGTTTGAAGAAGTCTATGCACCCTTTCTGTCATTTTACTGTAAGATCTTGTATGCCGGGAATTATACTTTTTTGTGATGGGTGTCACAAGCTTAAAATTTACCTGTCTGCCTGTGTCTTGGTCTTCAATATAATCACCTTTTTTTCTCTGGTCATTCCTTGAAATCATTCCCTACTATCTCCGGAAGGTTAGGAAAACTTATTTTTCAATGGCTTCTTTTCTCCCCTTTTTTTCTGTGTTTGTGTAAAAACAATCTATCCGTCTACTAACTTATCTCACATCAGCTAATTCTGTTTTGCTATTTATGTTGATACTTTTTAGAAGAAGGGTGGAAAATGACTGCACTGTACTAAATACACCAGCTCTTACACTGAAAGAAATATAACACTGGCTCAACTTAAAAAAATTGAAATAATCTGTCACACCTAATATTTTAGCATTGCCGTAATGTAAATAAACCATTTACTGTAACCTTTACATTTTTTAGTTAAAGTAAACTAATTTCTGAAGGTGAAGCAAACAAAATATTCAAAGTTGTTCTAAATCAAAATAAATGAGTTGGCTATATTACTTAATGTAAATATTCTACTAAATCTAACCTGAAATTATAAACTTAATATAAACCACTTTTGAATGTTTGAGTAAATTAACTTTTTTACGTTGCATCAAATAAAGATTTATGGTATTCATAATTTAAATATAAAAGCAAAAAAACTTAATTACATTTTGATTTACACTCAGAACGCCTTACTTTATATAATCATTACTTATTGTGGAACGAACATATTTTCATCCAAAATGTTAAGATTAAAACAGCTCCTCTCTTCGAGTCCCGCTCTCTCCATTCTGTAACTTGCTTCCTACACACGGGCTGAAAGTTACGTTGGCTGAAAATTATTTCCAGTCAAGGATATTGTCACGCCCCGCTCCGTACGGTCCTTGTGTGTGCCACGCCCCCCTCATTACCTCGTGTGAATCCCCGATTGTGATCACCTGTTGCCTGTTATGTTCAACCTGTCTTGTGCATTTAGTGCGTGTCTCAGTTAGTTTCCCCAGATCCGTCATTGTAGTGTCCGTAGATGTCCCTACCTGTCTGTCTCTCGAGCATTAAAACCCCTGATTACCCGTCAGTTTGGCTCGCTCTCCTGTTTGCCTGCTTGCCTGCTTGCCGATCGTGACAGATATGATGATATAAATATGTTTAACGGAAATTGCTTAACTAACATTAACTGAAATACAGGTTCTGATATCTTTCCTTACTTGTTTCAATGCCATGCTCCCGTTTGAGGCGGAAGTAAAATTATACCGCCAAAACCACGTTTCAAAAACTGCGCATGTGCAAATCACACTCAACCTAATAGAAGGGCTTTGATCAAAATGAAAAATTTCACTTTGGTTCCCTGATGTCAGTAGCATTATAGTAAAGTAAAGTAAAAAAAAAAACAATTTACCCATAAGCATAAATTAGACAGCTTACTTTAAAATAGCAAATTAATATTTTTTAACTAATGGAATGAGAAAAAACACATTAAACAAACGACAGCTATGGTTTCCTTTTTTCAGTGTAGTTAATGGTGTGTTTATGCTGACATATGCCCCACTGGAGCAGTGTTGATCTCAAGCTGGTAGCAGCATGATGATCAGGGTATGGAGAATGCCAGAGGGGATACTCATTATTCCACGAATATTCCCAGTTCTTTAGAGCATGCAGCACATGACACAATAAAACTAAATGCTGACAGAAACATGTCGTCTTGTTCCCAGCTCTGGTGGAGTGTATCACAGTTTGTTAGGGGGAAAAACATGAACTGGAGAATTTCTGATAGAGATTTGAGATTGTTAAGGATATCTGCTCATCAGTGTCCCAAACAGACATTGTCGTAAATCAGGGCTGCTCTATTCTGGTCCTGGAGGGCCAAAATCCAACACAGATTGCAGATCTCCCTGTTCAAACACATCTTAATCAGCTAATTACCAGATTTATTAGGTGTGTCTGAGCAGGGAAATCTGCAAACTGTGTTGCAAACTGGCCCTCCAGGAACGGAATTGGGCAACCCGGTCTTAAATAAATCAAAAGCAGAATGGATGATGTAGCTTAAGAGGTAGCCCATATGGTGCCCATTTCAGTGTCATTCCCAGGCTTCAGGCTGCACCGCTGCAGCATGCTGGGCCCAATATTTCGAACCTTGTCATACGAAAAGCCAGTCGAGGTTTAGGCTATTGACCAACCAAATAAGGTCACTGTGCAAGAAAATAACTGATCAATGCAGATTTCCCTCTCCAAAGGCGACACAAAACAGACACATACAGAAAAAACTCACACCGAATGTTGTTGTGTAACATTAATCAGTGTAGGCCAGTTATTTCCCCTTTTAGATGCACAACCATATGTTTTGGGGTTGTCACTGTCAACAGTGTTGAGTCCTCATTTTCACTTTAATACAATGTTTGGAGAATGTGATGTGGAAATTTAGTGGCCACAGCCAGTGAGGGTGCTGTAGTATGGGGGTGCTTTATTCTCTCATGGAAATCAGTCAGCTGATGACATTTGCTGGAAACCTAACAGAGCCCCACCAGGAGAACATTCAGAAAAGGTCAGCTTTAAGTAGCATTTTTAACATTATGCTAATTTTACAATAGGGAAAATATTTAATCTGCCTCCTGCATGGATTAAAGGTAAAGTTAAAAATCCACATGATCACAAAACAGCTGGGAAAAATTGTATAATTAGAAAAAAAATACATTTAAAATGATAAACAGCAATAAATTGGATTATTATATGAGCAGAACTGTTTACATTATGTTTGTCAGTGATTTCACATCACCTGTGATTGCAACATTTATTCTCTCTATTATTTTAAATCAATAATATTTACCTCTAATTATATCCTATTATGATGATGTGGATACCATTGCAGTCAAACCCTTGGATGTCCTGGCTTGGGCTAATTTTACTACCCCAGCAACACCAGTGACTTTCAGTGCTTAAACACTGCTGATAGCCAGAAGGGTCACGTTCTGTGACTCACTGCCATAACTTCCTTGGCTGATGGCTGCCATTTTGACCTGAAGTAATGAACGCTGTGCCGCCTTCTGGAATGATGTGCACCGTATCCATAGCATCCATGAATTATGGGCCAGTGACCATACATAATTATATATGTACATATTTAGGGGGCGGACTGATATTTGTTTACTTCGTTTGGCAATTGACACCCAAAGTGCGAACGGCTTAGTGGGCTACATCTGCCGATCCTCTTATGAAAACGACTTCTCCCCTGAAGGCAGAGTGAAACGTGATTAAATGCACATCGGGGTTTTCTTCCCGGGTGTCATCCCTGTCAGCCTGCTCACCTCTGCTCCTGGATTTAATCACTCATAGCACCAGTGAGAGTGAGAGACACATGTGGGGCTCTGTGACAGAATGCACATACATGTATATGCACACATATCCGTGGGCCGCTGCTAAAATAGGCACTCAAACTCCCTGTCATAGAGATACACACACACACACACACACACACACACACACACCTAATAAATCATTTTTTATCTTTAACTAATATCATTTTGCAAGTCAGTCATATTTGATTGTCTGCTTCCTGTATATAGGCATAAATGTGTTTTTGCTCAGTTATTTTTAACTATATGTCTGGTTTCTCTGAAGTTTGCAGTTTAGATGTGTCTTTAAGTCAGCACGGCTCTCAGCATCATACCATGATTTATAATCCAGGGTGTATTTTAATGTAATCCAGGTTAAGTAATTCTCCTTGAGGAACAACAGCGGGACTTAAACCAACAACCTGTTGTCCTGCTGCTGAGTAGGCAGCTTGGGGTGCCATATTTCAGTGTTGAGTGGCTCCTGTCCAGCATGATGCAGGTGGTTCTCCTCCCGGGTAGCAGCCTAATTAATGCCCAAGAGTCACGGCCCTTTAGAGCATAAGAACAATCTCAAGGCGCTTTCGTCCCAATGGAGAGAGGGGCATTTTGGAATAGTGGGTCTTTTTCTCCCTTAAATGGGGCTGAAATGTAGATTCCCTTTTAGCCTGCTGAAGATCAAAGACTCTTTTTGGGGGCTTTCTCTGTGTATTTGTCAGTGTCAGCGCTCATGCTCAATTTGTACTTTAACGTAATTTGCAGTATTACAGGCAGCCGGGCTGTCGTGCAAAGGATGTGTGTGATTAGTGAAGGCTCCTAACAGCCCCCCTTGGATAAAGAAATCCCCCCTCATCCATAAATCGCTGTTCTTATTTGCTTGTCAGCCGTTTGTGTGAGCTCGCGGTCGGGAGCTGGTGTGGTGTGGGTCTCCTGTCAGCATCCTCAATCGCCGGGCCTTTCCAGGAAACACTTATTTTTGTAAATGTTATCTCTTTGAAGGTTTTCCTCTCCCCTTTCTCTGCTGCTCATTAGCTTGAGCTCAGGAAGCTTTTTATCATGCCCCTCAATGGCAGGAGCGGGGCGGTCGGACCCAGAGCGGCCCGCTCGTCCACACCACAGCCTCTCTCTCTATACAGCCCCGTCCTCAAGCAACCGATCATCAAAAGCTTCCCTCACAAAATAGCTTTTACCATGAATCGAAAGAAGGCG